AGAAAAAAATACTGAGCGTGAGGTTATACTCAGAACTGATAATGGATTACTGACACAAAAACTGCTTATAATGATTCTGATACTGCAACACAAAGCATGATATTTGATGAAAGAAGGTCAGTTTTATGTTATATTTTTGTGACATTTGGAAAAGACGGAAGTATGTTGATACTCAAAGGGCCCACGAAGCTAGATACCAGCAGCTCACACCTGTAATCCTAGCCACTCAGGATGCTGAGATCTAAGGATCCTGGTTCAAAGCCAGTCAGGTCAGGAAACTCCATGAGACTCTATCTCCAATTAACTACCAAAAAAACAGCCAGAGTGGAGCTATGAGTCAAGTGGTAAAGTGCTAGCCTTGAGTATAAAAGTTCAGAAATAGCCAGGCGCCGGTGGCTCACACCTATAATCTTAGACACTCAGGAGGCTGAGATCTGAGGATTGCGGTTCAAAGCCAGGCTGGGCAGGAAAGTCTATGAGACTTTTATCTCCAATAAACTACCAGAAAACCAGAAGTGGCACTGTGGCTCAAGTGGCAGAGCACTAGCCTTGGGCTGAAGACCTGAGGGACAGCACCCAGGCCCCGAGTTCAAGTCCTATAACCAACAACAACAACAACAAAAAAGATCAGAGACAGTGTCCAGTCCTTGAGTTCAAGCTCCAGGACCAGCACCAAAAAAAAGGAGGGGCTCTTGGTTACTAGGGTGGTAGAGATGGGGAAATATGGCAGCAAAGTCCCATAGAATGGAACTTCCCTGACTCCCTTTTGTTTCCAGTACTGTGGATAAAACCCAGTGCCTCTCAAACTTCAGGCAAGCACTCTGTCTCTGAGCTACATTCCCTAGCAAAGCTTTGTTTAAAAATTTTTTAACTGTATGTTAATTTAAACAAAACAGTGCTGAATTCTAAATCTGCCCTGTATTGGCTAGGTAGTTCTCAAACATCCCATAGGGTAGCAATACTGAGTGACTGAAATGAAGAACCAAGGGTTCTGGAAACTCTTAAAGTGACAGACAAATAAGGAAGAATGCTCACATTAACCTCATATGAGGTTCCATTCAGCACTTCAGCAACTGTACAACACAAGCAGCTAGGTTTAATACTGGTCCTACCTGGGAACACAAAGCCACTGTCTCAGCTAAGAGAGGAAGTTCAAGCCACCAATGTGGCCCAGTCACCATTGTACCCTAACTCTCCCTCCTCCATCTCGAGTGGAGGAAGACTCACTCTTTGGGATTTAAGATAAATGCCAGGCAGTTGTGGAGTAAATAAACTGGCAGACATCTCTGGCTCCTGAGAGGAGGAGGAGGAAACAGATCCTGTATCCCAGAGAAGGCACAGTCCACAAGGTCACCCCCCCACACCCAAGACCTCACCCGCATCATGCGGTCTGAGCGATGACGCCTGCGGATCCGGTTCAAGCCCTCCACAAAGCGGATGAAGCCATCCAGGAGCTGCCACTCATCCTCATCTGCACGCGGCCTGTCACCGTAGATGTCGCAGTGGACCTCCCCTTCTGTGATGCGTTTGGTGGCAGTCACACAGGCTGGCAGGAGCAGGAAGCGGGTTCTCCAGAACTTCAGAGACTCAATTAAGCTATATTGGGCCAAAAAGAAAGAAAGAAACAAACAAAAAACCCACAGAGTCGAGGTGAGAACAAGTAGATCAAGTCCTCTCAGCGAGCAGACACTCTGGTGGCGTGTGAGGGTCCATCTCCCCAGGGTGCACCTGCATTGGATGCTATGATTCATAGCAGATGGGAAGGAAGGTCAGGCCACTGTTTGTTTTAATCCCAGAAATGTCAGGATGCTTCTGGGTACCCAGGCCCAGTGAAGTTGTGACAATCATTAATCACAAAGAAAAACCAAACACGAGAAAGGAGATACACTACAAAGATTACCTGTTAGGCAGTCAAGAAAATGTGAAGCACATGGTCTGCACTGACACGTGCACCAATGGACACACTGTCACCGAGTTCTATTTTGTTTTTCCTAGTTGCAGCAAGATACATATAACAAAATGTACCTCTTTAACTCATCATTAAGTGTGTGAGCCACTGGCAGTAAGCACGTACATTCACAGGTTGTATAACCACCACTACTCAGCTCATCAGTATTTTTGTTTGTTTGTTTGTTTTGTTTTGTTTTGGTCTGGTTGTGGGGCTTGAACTCTGGGCCTGAGCACTGTCCTTCAGCTCTTCAGCTCAAGGCTAGTGCCCTACCACTTGAGCCACAGTGCCACTTCTGGCTTTTTTTCTTTTTGCTTATGTGGTGCTGAGGAATCGAACCCAGGACCTCAGGCATGCAAGGCAAGCGCTCTACCACTGAGCCAACTTCCCAGCCCCTCATCAGTATTTTTAACATATGCTGATTTGCCTTTTTTTTTTTTCTGCCAATCATAGAGCTTGAACCAGGGCCTAAGTGCAGTCCCTGAGCTTTTTTGCTCAAGTTTAGTGCTCTACCACTTGAGCCCAGTGTTAGTTCAGGCACTTTTTGAGTAGTTTATTGGAGATAAGAGTCTCATGGACTTTCCTGCCCAGGCTGGCTTTGAACCATGATCCTCAGATCTCAGCCTCCTGAGTAGCTAGGATTACAGGTGTTAGCCACTAAAGCCTGGCCCTGATTTGCTTTTGTTCTTCCTTTTGCCTAGCATGCATGAAGTCCTGGGTTTGATTCCTCAGTACCATATAAATGGAAAAAGTTGGAAGTGACACTGTGGCTCAAGTGGTAGAGTGCTATCCTTGAGCAAAGAAGCTCAGGGACAATGCCCAGGCCCTGAGTTCAGGCCCAAGGGCTGGGAAAAAAACCCAATCCTATCCATCCAAGGCAGCAAGGGTGCAAAGTCAAAGCTTGATTTCTGACCTGAAATCTTCAGAGCCGGCAGAACAAATATACTGATCTAAGTAATTCCACTTGTATTCCTCTAGTCGCTCATGGGAGAATTCCACCCAACAGGAGACGAACTCTGAGTCTGAATGGGAAGGACACAGACTGTATGTGTAGTGGATCTGGGCAGATTCATAAGGGTACCTGCAAAATAAAAGGCACGCTTGGACATTCAGGAAAGAATTCTCGCACCCTTTTCTATATGTTTTTTTTTACTTTTTCTTTTTTTTTTGTCTCAATGCATTTAGCATTATTCTTGGCATTTGATCAACTATAATAACAAAGCTTGGCTCAGGAGACTGTAATGGGTATTCCCTAGATCTTCTCAAACTTGTTTGTTACCTCCTCACATTCTTCAGTCTTAATTGGCTTGGTATGATTCATAACTAAAAATTAGAAGCTAAATCAAATCCCTCTTAGAAATAGGTTAAGCTAGAACCCCAGGGTTATTTTAAAATAATACAAAAATTCCGAAACAAAAACTAACCACTCGACTTCCCATATATGGAACTCTACTGTTGGCATCACTTAGCATGCAGACACACTCAAAACAGTTGTGGACCACCACACCTATCTGAGGACTCACTTGGGAAGGTACCGAGTCACTGTGATCATCTTGTCCTTCAATGTCACTTTGTGGAAAGTTCTGCCCATACTCAGCCAATACTGGTCTTCCTCTTCGGGGCGGTTTCGGGACACAAGGCCTAACAGAAAAAATAATAAATAATAATAACTTCCTCCATCTGGCTGAAACTTGTTTTTACAACAGACAATTGCTTCTCATCCATACAGATGCAGAAAAAGAGAAGCATAAGAGGCAACACTTTCTTTTGATAGTTTCACAGAAGAGTTATTCTTGGTTAAAAAACAATAAATAAAAGTCCAGATGTTGGTAGAGTTTTCTGTTACCAATAGCAAATTAGAGGCTTGAGGGTGCTAGGAGCATCTAGAAGTCATACACCAGACTGAACAGCCTCATACCTCATGGTCCAAGTGGGTAAGTTCTAGAATAGATGTTAACAGGCTCAGAGTCAACTACTGATATAAAATAAAAATCCACTCTGCCCAGGCTCACCTGGGGTTCTCACTGCAGGCTGGCAGCCAAACCAGCATCCTGAGCCTTTGCTCCTACCACTTCTACACTGCATTCTAAGCTTTGGCCTTATAGGATCATTATTTATCTGTTATACCTGAGCTCCTCTCAACACCTGTTCATGCTGCCTCTCCTACCTTCTCTTCCTAGGCCACCATCACACCAGGCACCAGTGGCTCACATCTGTAATCCTAGCTACTCAGGAAGGTGAGACCTGAGGATCACGGTTGGAAGCGGCCCACACAGGAAAGTCTTTGAAGTTTTTATTTTCCATTAAATCACAGAAAAAGCTAGAAATGGTGCTGTAGCTCAAGAGGTAAAGTGTTAGTTTTGAGCAAAAGGAGCTCAGGGACAGTGCTCAGGCCCAGTGTTCAAGCCTTGGGACTGGCAAAAATAAAGTTACCATCACATGATACTTTCTCCAGAAAGCTGCCAGACCCCATCAGTAGTTTGAATGATTTTTGTATGTAGCTCCTTACATGTGTGTATATTACACTCTTATAAACTAAAAGTTTCAAGCAGCGAGGCACAGTGATGCGCACCTGTTGTCCCAGGTATCTGGGAATATTTAGAACTAGGAAATCAGGCAGGATCTAGTGGCTCACAGCTATAATCCTTAAGCTACACAGAAGGCTGAGATCTGAGGATCACAGTTAAAAGCCTGGGCTTTAACTGAGATGCTTATGTTTGATTAACAACCAGAAAACTGGAAGTGGCACTGTGGCTCTAAGTAGTAGAGTGTAAGCCTTGAGCTCAGGGACAGTACCCAGGCTCCGAATTCAAGTTCCATGACTGACAACAATGACAACAACTAAAAAAAAAAAAGTAGGAAAATCACTTAAGCCTTAGGCCCAGAAATTCAAAGCCAGACCAGGCAACAGAGTAAGACCATATTTCAAAATTAAACTAAATTAAAATTCAAAGATAGAGCCAGTAATGCCTGTAATCCTAGCTACTCAGGAGACTGAGATCTAAGGAGCACAGCCCAGGCAGCAAAGTTCATGAGGTTCTTTTTTATTTAATTTTTTTTTTTGTGGGTCCTAGGGGCTGAACTCTGAGCCCTGGACAGCTCTTCAGCTCAGGGTTAGTATCCTACCACTTGAGCCACAGCCCCACTTCTGGCTTTTCATGAGTTTCTTATCTCCAGTTAACCATAAAGAGGAAGAACTGAAGCTGTGGCCAAGTGCTAAAGCACTAGCTTCAAGCAAAAGAACTCAGGGACAATGCTCAGGCCCTGAGTTGGAAGCCCCAAGACACACAAACACACACACACACACACTCACACTCAACACACAAATTTAAGATAGAACTGGATGTGTGGCTCAAGAACTCTGTTTTTGAATGAAAAAGCAAAGTATGACCACAAGGCCCTAATTTCAAGCCCTATTATCAACACATACACACACATACACACACAAACAAAAGTTCCAGGAGGACAGAGCTAAAAGCTGTTCAGTCTTTCCAGTAGCATTTGATAAAGTGCCATGCCCAGAGGAGGCATTCAAAAAATAGTACTTAAGTAAAATTGTACACAGAAAAGAGGGCAATAAATGAGGAATCAAAAAGACAAGAAGTAAACAAATGAGTACAAACTGTGCCTCAGAAACCAACTAAACCTAGGACATTCCCTCTGGTCTAGAAATGAAAGAAGGAACTCTAGATTAGCTCTGGGATGGTCTCACAGTGGCAGGCAGCATGGATGGCATGGTCAGAAGAAGAGATGATGGCAGAGGCTGAGAGGACCAGCACTATGAATGCAGAAATTCAGAAATTTCCCAGAAGAGGCTGAGAGAAGGGCAAGCCCACTGCATAGAAGAAAGAAGCTAGGGGCTGGGAAGGTGGCTCAGTGGTAGAGTGCTTGTCTTGCATGCATGAGGCCCTGGGTTCGATTCCTCAGCACCACATAAGCAGAAAAAGCTAGAAGTGGCACTGTGGCTCAAGTGGTAGAGCACTAGCTTTGAGCTAGGGACAGCTCCCAGACCCAGAGTTCAGACCCCAGAACCACAAAAAAAAAAAAAAAGGAAGGAAGGAAGGAAGGAAAGAAAGAAAGAAAAGAAAGCAGCTAGGCTTTAACTCAGGAACCTCAGATTAAACCCCAACTTTTTCACTTGCCAGCTGCATGATCTCAAGTAGCAAATCTGTCCAACTCTTGCTTTCATGCAACCAGCAAGAGAGCATGCCCCATGAGACATTTCTTCATTCCTGCTACAAACACCCTGCTGGCTGTCAGGAGGATGGTGGCAGAGGATAAGATTCAAGAGCAGCCATGGTAACCTGACATCTCACTCTAAATTAAGTGCACCCCAGTTATTCCAGCTTTAATCTTCTACTGTTCACAATCTGTAATCAAATACATTCTTTTGGTTTATTAGATTACTGTCTTCCTCCTCCCAAGGACTGTACATTTCAAGGGCAGGTCCAGTAAAGCTATTCAGCTCTCTGGAAGAAGGCCTAGCTCCCATCTGGTAATCAATACATATGTGTCTAGTGAACAGCTCAAAACTGGTTATAATGGCAACTTTTCCAGTAATTGCAGTAACAGCAGTACCACTTTTATTGCTATAGAAATAAAAAGAGGTTAAAATTATCAAAGGAGAAAATGATCAGAAAGAATATAGTCAGGCAAGTAGCCTCTGAACAACAAGTCGTGACATAAAACTCCTGAATCAGCCAGCAAGCATTGCCGTTAAGTACTCAAATGACTCATGAGGGACACTGGTCAGCTATTCCAGAGGGTAGCGAGTGGGCAGCCTTGATGGAACCAATGACACTTAATGTGAATTCACTGCTCTTGGGTGAAAGGATAAAATTCTTCCCACAGTCCTGCCTGTCAATCCCCTGACATCTGTGGCAGCACCTCAGGCTCATTCCTTGTGCTTTATCATAGCCCAACTTTTGTTTTGATGCTCAGGAAGGAGCATGTCTTTGCCACAGGGCCTTTGTACATACTGATCCCTCTGTCTGGCACACTCGTCTCTTCCCTTCACCTCACACTCTTCACACCCAATCCTCTTCTCCAAATAACTCTTGCATATATTTCGGATCTAAGCTCAGATATCACTTCCTCAACTGTCCCTGACCCTCCAAATTGGATCAGATCCTGAATTAAATAGTCTCCCAGGCCCTTAATTTTACCCTCAATCTATCACAACATGTCATTTTCTCATAATTAGATTGCTATTTTTCCCCATTGAGCTATAAATTCCTCCTGGGAGTAGGAGCTTCAGAAACAATGTCGGATCAAGGGGGAATGAATGGACTCATTTATTTATTGACCCAGGCAATAAAATTTTTTTTTGTATTATAAGCACTGTGGTTTCCACTAAAAAGATGAATCCAAAATAGTTTCAGCACTCAAAAAGGTTGATATGAAGCCAGGGGCTGGTGGCTCTCGCCTGTAATCCTATCTACTCAGGAGGCTGAGATCTGAGGATCACAGTTCAAAGACAGCCTGGAAAGGAAAGTCTGTGAGACTCTTATCTCCAATAAACCACTAGAAAATGGGAAGTGGAGCTGTAGCTCAAGCAAAAGAGCACTCGCCTTGAGCTGAAGAGCTAAGGGATAGCGCCCAGATCCAGACCAACAACAACAACAAAAAGATTAATTTGAAGCAGGGCCAGGACTCTGAATAGGAAGTGAAAGGCAATGAGTGTCACAAGAAGCAGAACACTGACGGCTCACACCTATAATCCTTGCTACTCAGCAGGCTGAGATCTGAGGATCATGGTTTAAAGCCAGCCTAAGCAGATAAACTTGAGTACTCTCATCTCCAGTTAGATAGCAAAAAGCCTGAAGTGGAAGTGTGGCTCAGTTCAAGCTCTACTACTGACATTAAAGGAATGAGTGAGGAATTTCCAAAGAAAATCCAGAGGAAACCCAAAGCTTCCTCTATAAACAAGGGCTGGGCTGGATGATAACTAAGCTCCTCCTGACAGGTCCATGCTTCTCTTATCCTCTAGCCAGAGGAGACTTAATGGAACTATATAGTCAATCTGAGGTATTACACTGGGTGAAAGGGGAGTGGAAGTCTCCTTGGCAACAGTGAGGAAACAAGAGACCAAGACAGTGCACTGATTCATCTAAGAAGTGATTACTCCTTACTAATTCCAAGCACCAACACTTAATTCCCTCCATTATACTTATCTTAGAAGAGCTCTCTACAACCTGGCTCTGATTCAATTAGTGCTACTGGTTCTCTGTCACTTATTAGCCTCTGCCACTCATGGATGAGTCATTCTTGTTTCAGGTTATTAAGTAATAAAGAAGAGAAAGATAGATCCAGGATGGAAGAAAAACAAACAAACAAGCAAGTGTAGGGCTCAAGTATAGTTCAGTGGTAATGACTTGTCTAGCATAAAAGAGGCCCCAACACCATAAAAAGTAAGGAAAAGAAGAAGAAGAAGGAAGAGGAGGAGGAGGAGAAGAAGAAGAAGAGGAGGAAGAAGAAGAAGAAACAACATACTAAGGTTTAGAACCTATGGAACAGGATTATACTAGTAACAATTAAATATCCCTTTCTGGGTTTGGAACATTCACTTTCTACCTTGACAGATCAGTATTGGCTTTGTTGCATGCTATTTCCTAGTTGGTGCCCAAGCCAAGCTATCTCATCCTTGAACTTGGTCACCTCCTCTTCCTTTAAAGGAGAATTCTAAACCGAAGAGAGTGTTTAAGACAAATATATACTTAAGGGAGATTTTATTGCTCCTATAAACTAAAACTGACAAAGAAAGCTTGTGTGTTGAAATCAATTACCTCTAAATTTCTTTATCCTCCCACAACCTTAGGAAAAAGAACAAGTTTAAAGGCTGGAAATGCAGCTTACTGGTAAAGTACTTGCCTAGCATGCATGAAGCCCTGGGTTCAATTCCTCAGTACCACATAAATAGAAAAAGCCAGAAGTGGCATATGGCTCAAGTGGTAGAGCACTAGCCTTGCGCAAAAGAAGCTCAGGGTCATGGCCTAGGCCCTTAGTTCAAGCCCCAGGACTGGCCCCAAAAAAGAAAAAAACAGGGGCTGAGAAGGTGGCTAAGTGGTAGAGTGCTTGCCTCGTATGCATGAGGCTGTGGGTTCGATTCCTCAGCCCCACATAAACAGAAAAGGCTGGAAGTGGTGCTGTGGCTCAAGTGGTAGAGCTGAAGAGCTGAGGGACAGTGCCCAGGCCCAGAGCTCAAGCCCTATGACAAAAAAAAAAAAAAAAAAGAAGAAGTAGTTTAAGGAGATAGACTCACCTCGACTATAGAGCGGACTACTACTCAGGGGAGGTGGGACAGCTGGGTTGGATTTCTGGGCCTTGGGTTGCACTATGATTTGGTAGCCCTGCATCAGCCGCTGGCAAATGAACTCTTCAAACACCTGCTGGGCTGTCATCTGCACACCTTCCTCATCCCTCCTAAAAAAAAAAAAATCATAATGCACATGGTATGCTTGGCCCCAGGGAGTGACAATTGTAAACCATCAATGGGAGAAATGATCAGTTCAACAGGTTGAAAAAGGAGGCAGGTAATAATTCATTGTACAAATGAACGATCTTAGAAAAAAAAAGTCAGATTGAGTGTGCCCAAATAACTGCATAAGAGCAATCATGAGAAATTGCTAGTCAATAGAATTTGAAAGCAATGAATAGCTTTTGCATCATGAAATTTCCCAAATACAAAAGGAGAACACAGGTTTGAAAGTTAAGTGTCCTGATTATGTGTATTCTGACACACCTGGCACCTTTACAACCAAAACCAAATGCATTGCACTCTGCCCACTGACCTGTCCATGTCTGCTTCTGGGAGGAGATCATAGCAGCCCTCCGTGTAGTCATTCTGCAGGCCCTGGCGGTCAGGGAAGTAGTCGGTGGTGAGGGGGAGGCACGCCGGAGTAGTAAGAGACTTCCAGTCCACTCCAACTGTGCAACAGAAGCCTGGCACTACAGGGGGAGCAGACAGTGTCAGAACTGCCTCGCATAATACGGGGAAAGGCATGTATGGTCACCATGGCAGGTTTGGGATGAGGAGAGGAGAAGAAAGGGGTAAAGAAAAAAAAGGTCATTGTAAAAAGTGGTAAAAATGGCAGGACAGGGAGGAAGAAAAAGGGGAGGGGAAAGAGAAAGAGAAAAACAGAGTTTGTTAAATAATGCAATGCACATGCTCATCCAATCCCATCATGCAAATGGGATTCACAGCTGATATTTTCCATTTTCTGCTAATCGTGAGCTATAAGCCAAAATGCCAGGAAGGTTACTGCAGGGCAGGCAGGGTTACATGTAGAAGCAAATCAACATTCCGAGAGCGGACAAGAGGTAACTTTGGCTCTCTGAGGACCCCCCAGCATGGCTGGGTGGAGAGAGGAGGCGAGCTTAGCCTTATTTGGGAGCAAAACAGCATATAGTAACAGAAATAAGGAATATGTTCAGAATTACAAAAATAAATTTAAAAGTTCCAAAAAAGGTGGGAGTAAAAATGAAGTGAGGATGTCTGGGAAAGTTACAAGGCTGGAACTTTTTAGTTTGACAAACTCTGAAGGAAAGCTGCCAACAACAGAGTGGGCTTTGCCACAGATCTGTCTGAAATTGTCTGCTCTTTAGTTAAAGAGGCATTTCTCAACCTTGGCCACTACTGATGGTTTGAACCAGATAATTTAGTCATGGAGGGCTGTCTTGAATCACTGGACTCTACTTACTAGCTGCCAGTGGCACCCTCTAGCTGTGAAAATCAGGAATGTCAGCAGATAGTGCCACAGGTCCCCTGGGAAGCAAAATCTTGAGCATTTTGCATTTGAGCATTACTGAGTCAAAGAATTAAGGACTGTGGGGTTGGGGATTTAGCTCACTGATAGAGCACTTGCCTGGCAAGTGCAAGGCCCTGAGTTTGGTCCTCAGCTCTGGGAGGAAAAAAAAGCTATAAAAGACAGACAGACAGACAGACAGACAGACAGACACACACACACACACACACACACACACACACACACACGCAAGTAGTAATAAGGGAATGCTATGGTTTGGTTGTTATTTACCCTCCAAGGGTTTGTGAGTTGGTGGCTTGGTCCCCAGAGTAGAGATAAAGAAGCATGGAGGCTTTAGGAGGGAGAGATTAAACAGAGGCCATTGCGTGGAGGCAGCTGTCAGAAGCAATTAGGGCAGCTGTCCTGAGACCTTTAGGTAGTTCTAGAGCAACTGTTGGTAGCTGTATTTTCTGGCTTCCTATTCCTATTCTGTCATGTGACCTCTCAATCAGCATGCTCTCATTAGAACACTATCCACCACCATGTAATATATTAGTGGGCTCTGGCCAGAGGTAGCACTGTGCTACTTGGAATTTCAGCCACCTAACCTGTGAACTAAATATACCTCTTTTCTATAAAATAACTCCACTTCAGGTATTCCATTATAGCAATGAAAACAGACTCTAGGGGCTGGGGATGTGGTTTAGTGGTAGACTGCTTGCCTGGCATACATGAAGCCCTGGGTTCAATTCCTCAGTACCACATAAGCAGAAAAAGCCAGAAGTGATGCTGTGGTTCAAGTGATATAGAGCTAGCCTTGAGTACAGAGAAGCTCAGGAACAGAGCCCAGGCCCTGAGTTCAAGCCCCAGCACCGGCAAAAAAGAAAAGAAAACAGACTCTAATACAAGTTATATTTTCAGGGGTGGAGACTGATCGTGCTATGGCTTGTATATGATACAACAGGACAAATATGTATGCTTCTCATATGTCCTTATATGATACTTACAGCCACTGCATGTAGTAATAACTTTATGACATAATAAATATCTTTTTTTTTTTTGGGCCGATCGTGGGGCCTGAGCTCTGGGCCTGGGTGCTGTCCCTCAGCTCTTCAGCTCAAGGCTAGCGCTCTACCACTTGAGCCACAGCGCCACTTCTGGCTTTTTTCTTTTTGCTTA